ACCACAACTACAACTACAATTACAACTACACTACACTACACTACTTACACTGCAGCACACTACGGCTACAACTACAACTGCATCTACAGCCACACTACATTACACAACGCTACACTACACTGATTACATTGCATTACACTACAGCTACAACTGCAGCTGCAGCTGCAACTGCAACTGCCACTGCATTACACTACACTCCGTTACACTAGATTACGCTACACTACGTTACACTAGATTACACTACACTACACTACATTACACATACTACTCATACTACACAACACTACACTACACTACACCACGCCACACCACACTACACTACACTACACATACTACACTACACTACGCTACGCTACGCTACGCTACGCTACGCTACGCTACGCTACGCTACGCTACGCTACACTACACTACACTACACATACTACTCATACTACGCAACACTACACTACACTACACCACACCACACCAGACTACACTACACATACTACACTACACTACATTACACTACACTGCGCTACACTACACTACACTACACCACACTGCACGACACTACACTACACTACACTATACTACACTACACTACGCTAATTCCACCACACCATGGCTACAAGTGCAACTGCGCTTGCAAATACACCAATTACACTACATTGCAGCTACAGCTCCACTACACAACACTACAACTACAGCTACAATTGCAACTACAACTATACATCCAGCAGTTGTGGTAAGGTGACCACTGCAACCATTGCAACCATTCCAAAAAACACAGCTCCAACCACCTGTCGGTCCATCAGTGGATTCGCTCTGCCATCCGTGAGTCACAACAACCAACCTCTCCTATAGGTTTCCCATTTTTGAAACTTCCGCCACCGCCTTGTGCGGTACTACTGGTATAATTAACTTAGTTGCCTTGCTTTCTGTTTGACGTTCTAGCATTGGCTCGATGTTTTGCGGTCCAAACCCTGAAAGGTAGGGATGCTGACGACTTTTTTGGGTGGAGAACAAGCAAACAGGTTTATAAGGTTGGAGTATAGGCTGAATTTGCTTTTTGGTTTAAACGTCACGGAGAGTCCCAGTGCTTGTCTCCCTGACATAGTAGAAAAACAAACCCCAAACACCTCAAAACCATGTGTATATATATATGTATATGACACATATTTGTCTGCCGTGTAGAGCAACACGGATTCAAATATATGTAATAATTGTTTCTTCTCTCTTCTCGCTGTTGTTGCAATTGCCATTGCTGTGCGGTTCCCGTTGTCGGAGTTGGTCGGAAGTGAGATCCATGCTGTGAGCGATTTCCTCACCAACTTGTTTTATATAGGGTTGTTTGAAAATTTTGGGGAAGAACTCAAAAATTGATGGCTTATCATCATGTTTGCATAAGATTGCTTAGTATTAACATTGCAATGGCAAATCACGCACTTTAAACCACCGTTTTCCCATCGATAGATTTCCCATATTCTGGTCGCTTCGCGACGACAACCGCCCGCACCAGAGTGTTACTGTAGCTCCAGAGTTCCAATGAAACCATTTGTGATCTATGTTGGACCTTTGTAGGGCTCATGTTGGGGGCATGTTGGGCTGTGTTGGGCTCATGTTGGGCCATCTTGGGCCTATCTTGCCGCCCATGTTGGGCCTATATTGGCCCTATGGTGAGCCATGTTGGGCCTATGTCGGAGCCCATGTTGGGCCTGTATTGGGCCATGTTGAGCCCAAGTTTGGCAACTTGGCCGATTTTAGGCCCTTTCAAAAACGTGGAAAAACACAGGATTCTAGAGCAATAAAGGCTCCCCTCCAAGTCAAAGCTTAATATATAGCTATTGCAGTTCATTCCGGTTAATGCGTGCACACAAAAAACGCCTCGGCACCTTCGGTGCACGCGGATTTTGATGGATCTTCCATAGATTTCCCAGATGTTTCAAGGCTGCCAAGTGTTTCTTGTGTCGCCAGGAAAGGCAGCGATTGGAGGAGATGCCGGAACTGCTGATTCTGCTGATCCTCCAATGGCACGTCCAGCGCCATGTCACCAAGCTCCGCCTTGAACGTGAGATGCAACTTCTGTTGCTGGATGGTTTGAGGGTATAATTTTAGGCTATTTCAGGCTGATTGTCATTGGGAAATAGTATCTGGCTAGACACTGAGTAGATGACTTTAGATATTTTAGGTGGTATGTCACATTTTATAAATTTAGGTGTAAATATGAAGGCGCTTTTGTTAATCTTTGGTGGTAAGAATAAGACTTTTAGCATATCAGTTCATGCCACCAAGGTTGGCCGTGCTGGAACGACGTGTGAAGTTGCTGCGGCAGGCTCGGCCACTCACACATGCCCAGTTCAGCTGGGTCATGGAGAACCGGTGGACCTTGCGTGGTTTCTCCCTTGGCCGCTTGTTTGACGTTTTCCAACTTTGGCCTCAAGTCGATTCCGACTTCAAACGTGAAGTGAAGTTCTTAGTAAACAGCGCGCGCGAGGGAATGTCCACGCCACGTGTGGCATGAGTGGATCAGATGGGTGCTGACTCGGATTTGCATTGGATGGGCCGAAGCCCAATGCGTCCTGTGCATCCTGACGTGATGGGTCTTCCGCAAATTTCTCCTAGGATCCTTTGCGCCGCTGACAACTTCTGTGGTGTAGGGGATCAAGAGGAAATTATCTTCAGCCCCAAAATTGTCATCACATCAAATAGATTCATAGATTCAATAGATATCAATAGATATCAACAGATATCAATAGATATCAACAGATATGGATACTGATGATACTGCTCCCGGGGCCACAAGTCTCTGCTTCACATGCGGAAGACCATCTGTTGAAATTCTGACCACGCCTGACACACACACACACATAAATGACCCGTGACAGGTGCCAGGTGCGGCCACTTCAAGCGTGGTGCACAGGTCCCAGCAGCACAGGTCACCACAGCACCACTGGACGCCACAGCTTGCAAGTCGAAGTTTTGCCTCATGTCTCTATGTCGCCCCATCAAAACTTTCTAGACAATCCATGAAAATCCCAAAACGCACTGTTACTTCCTATGAAATACATCTTGATTCATGATAACTTAGTCAAAAGGGGCCAGTCCTATGAAGGTCCCTACAACATAGCCATACATGTCATGACTTCCAGCTGGTGGTTGATACAGTACTTGTCAACGACAGTACATGTCTTCGCTGCCTTTTCCCAGACTCGAGTCCAACATACCCTTTTTGCGTGACTGTTTACTTCGATTTGCTGTGCATGGATTTGCAGTTCTCAACATGAGAACATCGGCGAGAGAAAAGGGAAAGGCGGCCGACCAACGACATGTTTTCCTTGGAAGTACTGATGTTTGTAGGGCCGTTTCCTACCGAGCAGATCCCAACTTGGTAGCGGAGCCCATGGAAGCTCTGCGGCGATGCTGCCAAGTTGGGGTCTGTTTGGTCTGCAGAAGTTTGCTTGGTGCAGTGATCATTCTAGGTGGTATGCTTGCATTGCTGGAGTATGCGTTTACTGACCTCGATGCATTGAGTGTGCCAACTGACGCGGACAACGTCCCGTTGCAATGGTTGACTTCGAGCACCACCAGCCCGCAGATCGAACAGACTCTGACTTGGAGCAATGTGAATGAGCCCAATGTGCAAACAACAACAGGTTTTAGAATGTCTTTGACGGTTGATGTGACAGTGGATTCAGACGGCAGTATGGCTTTTTCAGTTGTGAATGAAACTGATTTTTCTGAAAGATTTCACGATGTCAGCCGGGTTCGAGACGAAACGACAGATGATTTTCACCGGACACGGATGAGAGCAGTTGGTTTGGCAAACAGTGCATTGCTTACGGCAGGTGTCGATTTTGGTGACAACAACAGCAGGCAATTACAACAGCTTGACGACATGGTTCCCAAGAAGCAGAATGTTGTTAACTGGTTGCATAAGCTTGCTGATAGTAGTTTTCATCCAATGGGTCGACATTCAAAGATGCATGTTTTTGCAACGATGATGACATGTGTTTCTGCAGTGATGTGCATGTTGCTGCCTTGCATGATGCAAGGCCCTTTCAGGCCACCTCATCCATCCCAACATGGAATGCGGACGAACGTACACCAAAGTGATGCTGGTCCTCCTTTCGTGGGGACGGCGACACTAAAAGTGCCGCCATTATGGTGCATAGAAAGAAATCATGTGTACTCTTTGCGGTCTTGGATTTCTGATTTGATACTATGTGCATCAGCTTCAGACTTAGATCCAATTCGTCATGGTCCTGTGGCAGCTCTTCAAGTACAAGGCACTGCAAAAGAGCTTGTGAGGGAACTAACTCCACAACAATTGCAGCAGGGTGACATTGATCCTCAAACTGGGCAACACTATACGGGGTTAATGTTACTTGTCAATGTGCTTGCAAGACGATATGCTCCACTTGAAGCTGAAAACACCACGAAGTCAATCAGTGAGTTCCTTTCCTTCAAGAGGCTCCCAGGTGAAACAATTGACTCAGTTTTGGTCCGATTCGATATCTTGCGTAACCGTGCTCAAGCTCGAGCAGGCTTTGCAGTGAACTGGACGGGCCTTTCATGGCTGTTGTTACAATCCCTGGGATTGAATGCCGAGATGTGGGATAGACTGCTGGCCCCGACCGGGGGATTGATGCCGCAAAATGAGATGCAGGTTGGAGAGCTGATGGAACGTGTTCGAAGGTTGTTTCATTTGCGTGAAGGTAGAATGCAGGCCACAGGTCAACAAGGTGCAATGGGTGACCCTGGTAACTTTTATGCAGATGGATATTTTCCAACCTTTGAGACAAATGCAGAACCAGCCAATGCTTTCATGACTGGAGACCCAAATCCACCTGATCCGTGGAGGAATGCAAGTTTTCCACAACATGCGTATGTAGGATCACCCACCAATCATGCAGGTGCTGGACCATGGGATGCTTGGAATCAGAACCAAAGTTTTCATGCCAATGCCAATAGCAATGTCCCATGTCCAACATGCGGAATGTACTATCAAGATGATGGTTTCAGCACGGACACCAGTTCCGATGATGGTGGTTCAATGCCTGCAGATTCCAACATGGATCCCAGTGAAGCCTATCAGGAATATGCCTTCGCCAGAAAGAAATGGCGTCGTATTTCCAGCAAGTTTCCCAGAAGGTACCGAAAGTTTGGTAAAGGTGGAAAAGGTGGTAAGCCAGCATATGCCTCTTTCCTGCCACCACAGGCTTTTGCAGGGGGTAAGGGTGGTCCCAATCCAAAGGGTGGTTTCCGAAAGAAGAACCCCAAGGATAAATCTGGTCAAGTGATGCGTTGCAATGTTTGCCAGTCAGATGAACACCTGTGGCGCAAATGCCCAAAGCGCCCACAGCAAGATGGTTCATATGCCACTGGTGGATCCAATCCTGCAACACATGCACATGCCACCATGAATGCACCTCAGCCACAACAACAGCTTGCTTTGATGCCAACGAACCAATCCTTAATGTGGGGTAATGCAACCAATGCCTCGCTTCCAGGTGTGCACTTCTTTGGCGCCGAGATGGAGCAGCTTCGCAGCATTTCTGATGCAGGCAGTGTGGTCTCGGCATCCAGCCGAAAGAGATCACCCGATCATGCTGAAGCGTCCACACCAGATCAGCCCAGTTCAGCCATGCCGAAGTTTAGCCCTGGATTTTTCCCAAAAGCATCCGTTGCAGCATCCGAGCATTCGCCTGCAGCCGCATCCGGCCATGCATCCGATGTTGCATCTGTCCATGAAGCATCCGGTAGTTTTGCAAGCCCTGAAGTTGAAAAGTTGATTGAAGGTGCCAGTGAACCACAATCACCACCACCAGCACGACCGCCGAAAATGACTTCAATTCGTCTTGGAGTTTCAGGTTCAACTGCAGCCGATGATGCCCACATGCCAAAGACATCTCAGGATGTGCCGATTGATGATCCGTCTCCTGTTTCAGGTTTTGCCGGACGACCTGTCCGAATGAGCCGTGAGGAACAGCAAGAAGTCAGACAGCAGTCTGTTCAAGGTTTGCACCAATTGATGATGGGTTTTGAACAAGTTGCAGGCAGACATGATGCAGTTCCGAATGCCGCTGTTTCTGGAGTTCCCCGTCAGGTGCTGAGCCTTGAATCTCAGTTGACTGGAGTAGCACAGCCAGGGAATCAAATGATGATGATGCAATATCAGCCACTTGCGTATGGTGTTCCTGGCATGAACATCGGTCCTGCACTTCCGAAGATGGGATTTACTCCACCGAATGTTTTTGGCAGTTCATGCATGGGTTCCGGAAGAAGTGGATCAGGCACCCAAGGGCAACAACATGGCCCTCCAAGCGGCGGATCGTATCCCTGGTGGGAAACTGACACAAACAAAGAGGATGAAAAGATGAAGTCCACAACAGAAGGCACCTACCACCTCAGAACGCGCCTGCGTTCAGGTGCCGTTGGATTGCTGGTTGATCCTGGAGCGCATGACAATTTGATCGGTGAGTTGACAGCTCAGCAGATGTGCCAAGAGTTGAACACTGAGCTGGAGCACAGAACCCTTGACAAGCCTCTGCCAGTCGAGGGAGTTGGCAAGTCAGCCCAAGTTGCCAACAAGTCAGCCTGTGTTAGCATGTCAGTTCGCAGTGCACTTGGCCAGGTCAATGACGCCACCTACACGGCGCCGATCATACCTGACAGCATGCTGCCTCCACTTTTGGGCAACAAAACACTGAGAAAGATGCAGGTGATTTTGGACTGTGGATCAGGAAAGATGATCATACCAGGCCCAGGTGGAATCGAGGTGAAGATGAGTCCAGGAAGCCATGTCTATGAGCTGGAGCTTTCCAACAGTGGCCACTGGATTTTGCCTTTGCATGCCCGAAGCCAAGATGCCATGCAGACCGATCAGAACCTTGCGTTCAACATGTCATGCCGCCAGAACCGTGCCAAGTCTCCCCCAAAGCGTTCAAAGAGCGCGGACGGGACCCAATCCAACTGAGGTTTTCTGAAAGCCGGTAGCGTGAATGTTGAAACTGGTTCACCTGCCGATGCGAAACATCACAGTTTCGAAACCAATGTATGCAATCCAGAAGGATCTGAACCAATGATGAAGTCAAAGTCATCTCAGCTTTGTACTGAAGGTTTGGCTTGGGTCTTTTCGGATAAGGCAGGACTACGTCAACGTCTTCTCCAAGAGTACGGCCTTAAGACCATGCATTTTCACCATGATTTGCATAGTAGATCTCAATGCCAGGACATCCTGTCCCAACTTGAGCATCAGGGGCCATTATTGCTTTGGATAAGATTTGCGGGTCCATGCGCCGGGTCCGGAAACAAACATGATGCCCTTCGAGCCGAGCATTTGTTTCGTCTTGTTCGACAGCAATGCCAAAAGGATCTTCCAGTTGTCATTGAAGCCAGCGAAAGGAGTCAGGTTTGGAACTTGCAAGTTGTAAAGCAGTGTGCCCCATTGTTGCATGCTACGCTTCATCAATGGTGTAACTATGAGCAGCTTAGACATGGACATGACCTTCCTTGTTGTTC